TTGTTTCGTGTGATTACCACTTGAAAAGGCAACGATAAGGATCCTGCTTTGCATTCAATTCTGAGTTTTGTTCATGATGATAGCGAACAAAGTCTGCACGAGCGGTAAGAGGAGAGAGAGTCTTCTCGCTCGTGACCACGTTAACTCTCCTGTGCCGATTGTGGTCACAAGCTGCGAAATATCATTTTATAAAATTCATTCATAAAAAAAACTTGTGAAAAATACATTACGCTGGCTAACAGTGGTTCCTACACCCACTTGCGCACGACGGGTGTATGTACATTGTCTGAAGTGTTCAATCCTTCTTGACAACATAGCAGACGAACGTCTCGTTCTCAACGAGACAGTGCTCACGTTCCTCGTTTTCCAATGGCTCAATGCCGTCCGTTCCACAAGCCACATACCATTCACCGGAAGCCAAGCGATTCTTTACGCCTTCCGACACTTTAGCCATTGACGACTCGGGCTCAGTAGTCATGCTCTGAAATATGGCTCCTACTTACAGTCGCTTCATGATACTTTTAGCCTTCACATTAAAGAAACATTCATGGGGGCTACAAGCGATTAAGGAAGTTTCAACTAACGCATTTCCTTTAGCCCTCACAAAGCGCTGACCCCCTGCGTCATCGCCCGATGCTCGACACGCTGCGGGCATTTTGCTAAAACTGTAGCGAGCTGTAGTATAATTGATGAGACAGACAGTGGTACAGCCTTGTCCGCTGCGGATGAGGGGCGTGTCGGCCGGGTTTGGCAATCCCTTCATCCACCAGTTCTCAAAGCGAGCAACGTACAAAACTGTATCATGTCGATTGTATTAATCGTTTCCCACCAAAAACCCGCTTCAGCAGCTCGTGGTGGACGGGTTTGGCGCCGCACCAACCGCTTCCTGCTTGAAACACCCTTCATCCGCAGCTAACAAGACCGTCACCTCCTTACAGCGTATACCTCGTCGCACTCGCTCGCTCTGAAACGTAATGCCCCACACACGTAGAGAACGATGCCGTCTCAGCCACAAGCGAGGGGGAGCAGACAAGTAGCGCGTGCGGCTATACTTAGGGGTAGGGCCAGCGTGTGGCGTGTTGCGTGTCTGTGGTCTGTATGTCTTATATCAAATGATAGGGGGAGACGTTGGAAGAGTACCACTCCTACAACCCTTCACCCTTGTTCCACTTCTGAACGGCGAAGGTGGTGCAGTTCTACAGCCACGGATCTGCACTCCTGGCTTATGGAATTTGTTCACATAGCAGATAATTAAACAGCTCTACGTTAACTTTGATTGCATGCAGCATGCATGCTTCAGCACACCACATGTGCTCTTCAGTAGCTGTAGTTTACTCATTCATGTACCATTTGAAACCAGCTAATTTTTCAAGAAGTCTCGAAATTGAAGCACAACTGACGAAGTGCCGCATTTGACTCTTTTTCTACTGCAAATGAGAGCAGACTCGAAAAATAGCAGAGTAGACGTTCTTTCTAGACTCACAGAATATGTTCCTGCCAAGGAATCGAACCACTGACTCGCATCTATGATGCAACTTACCTATCCACTACACCATCGACGCTTATCACTACTGACTTTCGAACTCAACTTGAGCTAGCACAAAGAGTATTCGGCGGGTACTGTGCTGGACCCCCCCTAACTCCTCCTAGAGAATCGTTCCGCAAATTCTGAAAGCAGATTTGAGTTCAGTGTCCCGAGACGCACACGCCAATATGCATCCCATCCTGAATGGCCATGGCGACCTGTTGACCTTTCGTGGTCAGCAGGAACCCAATCTTCCGCTGACCGAGCGAGTACGTTACTCATTACGCTACCGGGCCCTCTTACCCTCTCAGCTCAATGGCTTTCTGTGCCGTTGCATTCTACACCCACACGTTTAAGGTAATGACGCGGTAAGCCGATATCAGCACTGAACCGCGAGACTAAGCATTTACATGTTCTGAAGTTGCTTAAGAGTGATGACTGCTGTTCATCATCCATCAAAATATTTCAAATGGCGAGGTGGTATTACCAAAAACACAACAGATTTCTCATTGCCAGCAATATTATTATTTTCATCAAATTCAGGTAACAGAGTGATATACAAAAATGTAAGGGATGAAAAACAAAAGAAGATCAAAGGCAACCCCGGGCTCTTATACAATACTAATTATACATAAACTAATTTTGAGGGGTTAAATTTACATGACGAGAGTCTTAGCATAGACCAGTATTCGGGTTTCATGAATTTACGTTCTTAACAGAGACATATCTGACTCTAACAATAAGCAGAGAATGTATTATCTACGCGTTGTTTGTTGATAGAATAGAACCAGACTCGGAACAGCATTACAGACAATTCATGCATCGCTCTATGCGCTCGCTTCCACATCGACTCCAGGTGGTGGTGGTTCTTCGCCACCAACCTCAGGCTCCTCCTGCTTCACCTCTGCGAGAGGGCGGCTTTCGCGATCACGGTCCTCTTTATCCTTCTCCTTGTCTTTGTCCTTATCTCTATCTTCCCGGTCTTCTTTTTCGGCACGATCGTCGCGTCGCGATCGCTTTTCTCGCCTATCGCGATCGTCACTTCGCCTGTCGCGACGGTCTCCATCATCATCTTTGTCCTTGTCATGCCGCCTTCAAAAAGAAAACATTTTCAAGTAACTCTTTCGTCACCCGATAACTAATCCTCTTAGGGATGAATGGTCAAGCCACCAGCCCAAGTAATGCTCCCCTACCTTCGTTTTCTGTCGCTGTCCTCATCCCTTCGGTCCCGTTTCTTCTCCTTTTCACGATCATCGCGACGTTTACGACCTGAAAAATCTGAGTAAAAATCAACACTGACAGCAGTAACAGAGCACGACTGCTACATAGCAACGAAAGGGTGCTTCATGCAAATCTTCTGTGAGAGCTAAGTGGAGGACAGAGACAGAAGTAAAAGTTCGTTCTAAATAAATCCTCTTCAGCATCACATTAGACGAACACATTAAGCTACCTTCAGTGCTACCGCTCCGTGACCGATGCCGCCTACTGCTTCGTTCGGAGCGTTCCGATCGTTCACGATCTCTTTCCCTCTCACGATCGCGCTCCTTTTCTCGGTCCTTGTCTCTATCCTTGTCGCGGTCCTTCTCTCGCTCCTTGTCACGTTCTTTGTCGCGATCACGCCGCTCATCACGTTCACGTTCTCGACCAATGTCACGACTTCTTCTGAAAATGAACATCAGAACAATTAACAGGAAGTTAAAAAGAGGATAGGAGCTGAATACTATCACCGCCTGGTACAGCTGCTCCACCACTGAGAATCAAAGCCATTTCCGGAATGGTGCGGAATGGAGCTAACTAGGCAACTCGTTCAGGATGCACAGCTTTTTTCCAAAACACTTTTTTCAAGAGGGACTCTTACGCGGACCAAAAAAAAACTAGGTTCATTATGCAGGGCAAATCCAGAAACGTCAGAAAGTAGTAAACAAATTTAATGAGAAGGCAATCTAAAGATATTTATTGCACAGTTCACCGCTCAATACTACTATTGGACGCTCGTTGCTCCGAAGTCGAGCAGTGGTAATTGGTGAGTTGTGCATTGTGCTGCTCAAATACCAATGACAAGATGGTAAAGAAAAAGAGGGAAGAAGCAGAAAAAAAACTAGATTGAAATGCCCCTATAGCACCTCATGCTGAACCGCGCTTGTGCATTTATATGCGAAAAAGGGAATGGACGGACCATTTTTTACTTGTTATTGCCAGCACTTTCTCCTCACTTTCACCATTCGAAATGAAGAGAGCTAGTAGTAAACGCACCATTAGGTAACTGGTAAAAATGAAGGTTGGGCGCTGCTGTGGCCAGTAGGCAGAGCCATGGTTCAGTCACGAGCGGGCGAGCCTTCTCATGTTTGGGCTGCGAAAATAAGACACCCTTCATGCAGGCAGGACTACCATGTTCAGAGAACGCGTCTGAACACCAAATGAACGTGGGGCGTACCTTTATAGGTGAAAATGAAACACTGAAAAAAACGTGGAATAAATCGCAAATAAACTATAGGAAGGGGTAGGATGAATCTAAGATCCTCTTTTTGAATTACAAGTGTTCAGCCTTGCAGTCCGCGGTGAGGTTGTTTAACCTGCATTTTCCTGGGGAAGTTTTCACTCCATCTTTGGTATTCCTGAGAACACGCTGCGAAAATGTGTTTCACTTCTATGGTCCAAGTCTGAGCTTCTATGAAATGCAAAAAAACCTCTTTAAAAGAGTGATTCACGCCCTGAACGACTGCCCTTATGAATCACTCAACATTCGAAACGTTATATGATAAAGCCTGGTGAATTACCTTGAATCTCGCTTAGTTGGCGTTCTGGATCGACTGCGCCTCTTATGCCGCCTTCGGTCGTCCTCACTGAAACCGTATAAACGGCTTTTAATACTTATGGGGTCCATTGACAGAAAACCTAGGCAAAGCAAAAAAAGAAGCTCACCTCTCATCGAAATCAGCTGGCTCTCTTTTCAATATTGGCTCAAAATCTCGGCTCATCAAAGGAGGTGGACGAGCTCCGAGCGAACCTAAAACAAGACATCCATTATATTTATGCGTATAACAAAACAAGAAAATCTTGGACCCCTTCAGACTTCGCGATCGGGTCGCTCGATTGGATCGCGCGACCACGACCGGGGTGTTCCACCGCCACGCGGTACGCCGCCGCAGCAGCAGAATTCAAATCGGCTCGCGTTCCCACAGTGCCAGTTTAAACCGTGCCGTTGCGATGGTAAAGTGGAGGGCCTCCGCCCATGGTCGCGCGATCCAATCGAGCGATCGGATCGTGCCATCGCGAAGTCTGTACGCGATCTCAAAGAGACAAGCACTAGCTGACAACATATAGTGTTGCATAAAAACCTCGAATGCACTAAAATTTAGAATTCATAAGGTTTCAAACTTTAGTCACCTGATGATGTACTTGAAGGGAATCGATTCTGAGTAAATCCTGGTGGAGGCAACATAGAATTATAGCCAGGTGGCGGAAGAGTAGTCATTGGCATAGATATCTGAGCTGGACGCATACCAGGAGGAGGTAACGCCGGATTAAATCTGGAAACGGGGAATCGCGGTTGCATCATAATTGAATTCTGTTCTATCGAGCTCTTCGCCCTTCTAGAAAACTCGACAAAATGCCTTTTTAAAGCATCTATCCCACACAATCCCAGGGAATAAAGCACGTTTCAGAAAGGCCGCTCGAAAATCTATGTACTTCAAGCTGTCGCAAAATTTCACTCTTGACTAGGCAGCGTACAAGTTAAGATAATAGATAAGAGTAAGGTACCACAATTAGGATTGTCCCTTTTTCAGGAAAAACACGGGTTTTCCCAAGTTTCGTCAGAATTAATCTTCAGATTTAGATTCAATACTTGTATGTCAAACACTAGTGAAAGTTTCTTGGTGTCTTCTTTTTAAATGAAACTCTTCGAAATATTTATTTGACGTTTCGGGCCTTAAGCCCTTCTTCAGGTCTATAATATACATACACAATAAATCTATCAAACTCATACTTAAACATCAGTTCTAGCTAAAGTGACCGACACTATTGGAAATATACAGCCTTTAACAACTGACCGATTACAGGCAAGCGGTGTTATGGTCCAGGCGGACGGGTGTTCTGAGCAGGAGGTACACTCTACTTCGTAGACGGTGTTTTTCAAAAGGCATATCTTCCGTTCTTCTTGGCAGTACAACAATTTGCACGGCCACACAGATCTTCATATAGTCGAGAGGATGTGAGCAGACGGCGCAGCGTTGATGGTGGTCGGAATATCAGGCGGATCGGCATCCCAGACCTCTTCACTACTCGGTTAACATCCTTCGCATAGGACTCGGAGAGGTATGGTATTATGAGTGGGATGCCTCCCGGCACCTGATATGGGCGCCAGCAATTCACATGTCTGCTTCCATAGCCATTCTCGATAAGTATCCGCGTTACCTTCTCCATTACTTCGGGAACGTTGGTTGACGTCATCTTCCGAGCTGTTGTCAAGGTGTTTCGGACAACATTTCTTTTCATGAACAGGGGGTGGCAGCTTCTCGAATGAATCAAGATATTCTTCGAAGCGGTCTTTTTATGCCACATAGAGAACACTTGGTTTTCCGCAAGCTTCACCTTGGTGTTCAAAAATGGCAAGTAACCGTCCTGTTCAGGATCCTCGACAGTCAGCGCAATGTTGGGGTGCGCCGAACTCAGCTCGATAAATGTCCGACGGAGTGCTGTTCTGGATTTTCCGACGACAAATATGTCATCTATGTAGCGACCGTAGAACAGCAGTCCCGATGAAAAGGCACGTCTTTCTAAACGGTCCATGAATATGATGGCAAGAAGCGGTGCAATGCGGCTGCCCATGGCTAATCCTCGTGTCTGCATGTAAATGTTGTTTTGGAATCGGAACATGTTAAATTTGACAACATTCACCAGAAGCTCTTCAATCTCGCCAATGGACAAACCGTACAATTGACAGCTGTTGGAATGCTGCTCAATGCACGCTTCAGTCGCAACTCTCGTGTCGACGTTGGTGTAAAGGGCGGACACGTCGAAGCTTTGATATGATGTTCTTGAAGCGTTCGGAACCGTTCTCTCTCGTAGACAACTCAAGAAATGGTCAGCATTTTCAAATGCGCCGGTACATAGTTCAGAAGTGGCGACAGAATGTGTTGTAGAAGCCAGCTTATTGCATCAGTTGGGCCGCCACACGACGAAACAATCGGTCTGGTTTTAATGAGGCTGTTATCGTTCATGACACGTCCTTCGAATTCTGGCAGCTTGTGCGTCTTGACAAGCTGGTAATACGTTGGAATACATGGATATTTGGGAAGGAGTCGTGTCAGAGTTTGCGTTTCCAGCTTTGGACGAAGAACTTTTACCATCACCTCCTCAAGTTTACTGCACTCTCGTTTATAGCAGTCCATCGTAGTCAAGCGGTATGTCGACGAGTCGGACAGAACTGTTTCAGTAAGAGTTATATCTCGTGTCCGTGACATGACCACAAATCCTCCACACTTGTCGCCAACCGTGAATCTCAGCGAACTCTTCAAAGCTAACGCTTTCCGTAGACCACATCGTTCTGCCCGCGTCATGTTATCCGGCGTTCTCAATCCTTTATGGTGGTCGAATACTTGGAGAAGAGAATTTCCTCAGATTCGCTGAGAAGGTTGGGTCGTACGATGGAGCGCAAACTCGGGTGCGCGGGAATGGCATGGCTTTTCTCAAGCTTTCCTGAAGTGTAGGAGCCGTAGCTCCTGTTTGTTCCTTCCAGCTGTGAGCATAGCCGAACTTAGATACTGCAGCCATTACATCAATTCTTGATTCCTCGGTGCTCGGCAGTTATCCCGAGAACCCTTTCTCGCGACACCGTTCTTTACGGCACACCCACGAGAGCGCGCCCCAGATAAAAGTTGTTATCCACAAGAACGTTGGTGACCCGGTGGAAAGGAAGATAAAAGAGGCATTGGAAATACGAAGACGACGACCTCCCATCAACAACAGGGAAGAACTGCGAGCAAGTATGGAGTTTATCACGGCACTATAGGATGTGACTGAATGATGATTGCGTGACATATGGTGACTTGGAGGGTATCAGACGACATCATCCTTGCCCTTCCCACCACCGATCTAGTTGCTTCATTTCTGCGAGAGTGAGCAGCTAGATAGGTGAGTCCCTCCCATATGCCTTACGCCTCCCCCTTCCGAGTCCATCTTACAGCATTTGCAGTGATCCACGTGGTTCCCGGGAAGAACCCGTCCGCCTGGACCATAACACCCACTTGCCTGTAATCGGTCAGTTGTTAAAGGCTGTGTATTTCCAATAGTGTCGGTCACTTTAGCTAGAACTGATGTTTAAGTATGAGTTTGATAGATTTATTGTGTATGTATATTATAGACCTGAAGAAGGGCTTATGGCCCGAAACGTCGTCAAATAAATATTTCGAAGAGTTTCATTTAAAAAGAAGACACCAAGAAGTTACTACCCAATGAAACTCAGGAACCCTATGATACTGGTAAATATTAGCAAACAATGACCTCTAAAAATCGAATTAGTGCTAAGAGCAGTTACTTATGGGTACAGTTTGATTCGCTCGGATGGCAAGGCGTGCAGCGGCTGCGTTTGGTGAGCCGCCAAGCCCATTCTCCACCACGTGTAGAAGCAGGTGGGTAACAGTAAGTAGAAAACGACTGATACAGACAATATGGCATAATCTTTTGGCTTGCTGAAAGGAAAAAGAAAAAAACGGGGTGGTGCTGCGCCAAACTCAGCCGCGCTCACACGCCCTATCATCCGCAGTGAACCACATCAAGTCGAGAGCACACGAGACAAAACGACAGAGTTTAAAAAAAGCAAAGAACACAGCAAATATAACGACTGAGATAACAAAGCAATACCTCCTGAATGACTCGAAAGAAATAAAGAAAAAGATCTTCATTTAAGATGAAGGTGCAAGATGTTTTTGGGCTGAGCTGTACATTCTGGAGAATGAATAACTTTGTCATTTTAGAAAACTGGAAGGCTGCTTTTGTTGTAGAAAATCTAGCCCATATACAGTCTGCGGTGAAGGGTCTTGTCAGGGTTGGCTGGCGACAGGCCCTTTTTCCACCAAATGTTGGAGCAAGAAGCAAATGACTGTGCCATATCGTTCGTGTCATTCATTTTCCACCGACTGTTGCCGCTTACCCACTTCAACAGCGAATGGAGCGGCGTGACAGGCGGGGTAGGACCGGCGCAACGCCAAACCCATTCCGCCTGACACACCCCTTCGGGCGCTGCGAACAGAACTGTACTAGTTTTTGAGCTAGGCACTACAAGCTTGTATTCCCCTGGTTAAGGGATATGGAAGGATGAAAAAGTCTCTTATTTGATATCGCTACCTGTGAGCATTTTGGAAACAGTAGAAATCGGACGTTTTACTTCTATACGGAGACGAACAAGCCCCTGCATTCTATTTCTAACGATCCCTTTGGGTACTGAATCGTAATTATAAGTCCAGGTGCACAAACTAAAATTTTACCCTTTTGAGTCACAGCTTAAATTCACGGATGAGTGCAAAGTCACTGTTCATGTAGAAGCAAGCAGGAAGAAGAACTGCTTACCCTGGAGGAGGCATTGACAAGTCCAGACCACTTCCCGAACCGAGAGTTGGTATTGTTTGTGGTTCCAGATCAACTCCTGGTGGACCATCAACACCAGGAGGTCCAATAATGTCGACTCCGGGAGGACCATCTACAAAATCATCTGTGGGCATAGACTGCACCCGTTAGCATTGATTGTACAGCCATATCTTAAACAACGCACCCATGATATGAATCGTTGGTACAGAGGGTGTCTGTGCAGGAGGCGGTCCTGATGGAGGAAGCCCAGGTGGAGGCTTGCTGAAGTCAACAACAGGAGCAGGAGTTGGTGTCTGTAAATTTGGGATTAGCCCAATCGAGAACGAGGAGACACTTAAACAAAGAGAATGTTCCTGAAGCGTACCACTCCTGGAGGTCCAGTTGGAGCACTCGATGGCTGCGGTCCGGCGATAACGGTCCTCATAATTGGCTTAATAAGGCTCTAGTAAGAAAGTGCTGCATAGCCTTTAACTTCATTGTTCTCAGGGAATCAAAGGACTACTCCGAAGAGATCACTAATGGTAAGGCAAATGTTACAGTTGCATCACTTACCTCCGTCGGATCTGTGGAAAGTTTGTGAAAATGTGGCTTGAACTTTCCGCCGTTATCGGTCAGAACCTTAACGGTTCCTTCAGTGAGCGGCACCAACTGGCGGCCTCCGGTTGCTGAAGAAGTAAAATACGCGAATAACCGAACAATCGACGTAGGGTGACTCCACCCAATTCTTCAAGTGTCTGTTTCGAACATTGTACTTCCACAACTATTTTCAACCCCGTCAATTTCACATTAACTCTTCAAACCACGCAGGTATCATAGGCGCCCAGTTATGCACTGACACATTACGCTCCACCCCTTTAGCCAGGCCCACTTCCGCTCTTTCTGCGAAAATTTGACCTTTCTTCAAATTCTCACATTTTTAGTCTGTTACACGAAGCTGTGTCCCATTTTCCGAACGAAAAAAAAACAGAAAATTTCTGTCTACAGTGACGAGGAGCCCTTTGACCTGCAAGCACAGGCTATAGCTCGAAATAACAAAACTGCTAAGAAGACACAGAAGTAGAAGTTATAGAAAAGAATACAAAAATCATGACCACGCTGGGCGTGGTCGTCGGGGCGGGGCCTGCAATATGTGTAGTGTAGCGCGTTGACCGAGTGTTAAACTTTATTTCAAAAGTCTTGAATTTGGTTTGAAATGTCGTGAATTGAAGGTTGTATACATAAAATTAGAAAAATATCCCACTTACGCGGCATTCCAAGTGGATTCGCCAAATTAATCGAGGAGAATAGTGCTTTATTGGCTGCACCCTGATTACCGTATTCCTGTCTCAACTTTTTTTGTCGCTCACAGTAAGTATTCCATGTTTCTTAAAAGAGAACAATCGGAAGCAATATATGATTGGCACTGAAAGGGAGTGTTGAATCTGCCTTCTGTAAATCCATAGTTGAAGTAATCAGTAATGTCAGCTCCAGGTTTTCGCCAAGGGCGATCCTCCATTTGTGCAAGATCGATATCATAGATGGGCTTATCGTTGATCATTGGTACAGCATCAATATCCAGCTTGCCTGTTTGACTCACATCGCCATTCACATCCAGTGAGCCTTTCTGAAGAACAAGGAAAGTTATGCACGTTACAATGTTGTATTATTGGACTGGTTCATCCAAAGGCAAGGTAAACCCATGGAAGAATCACTCAAAACATGTCAAAAAAAACAGGTAGAAGATCGAAACCAAACATACTAAAATATCGTAAGGGATATTTATTCATAATCAACTCTAGAGCTTGAATCGGTTCCATCTACATTCAAGAAAGAGAAACAAAAAAAAACTTAGTGCCGCTCACCAGACTATACTGGACATTCACTGGCGGTATCACACCAATCGTCACTTCAACGTCGTCATCGTCATCATCGTCTCCTGAGTCCGCGAGCGGATCTGCAAGTAATCTCCATGATCTGCCTGCACATATTACACGTCTGACTTGGAGAACTGCGTAATCAGGGTACAGCATCGTGATGTGTGAAATGTTGGTGTCGGCTCGACTTTGCGTGGGGGAGGGGGTCTTGGTAAGACCCCCCCCCCACCTAAAATAGGGTATCGGCACGCACCCTCCCTTCCCCCAACCCTTTCCAAACACCTATCAACCAATTTCCCACATTTTCCATTTTCGCCCAAGAATTTTCCGTCGAGCGGTTGGGCATATAGAAAGTGTGAAAGGGGAAACTTCTCAGATTATCTGAGTGTGTAAAACAATGTGAAACTCCAAAAGTTTATTGGGACCAAAAGACTCAAAAGACAGTTGAAGAGTGAAACTTTCACTGTCTTTTGAGTTTTTTGGAATAAACTTTTGGAGTTTCACATTGTTGTTACACACTCAGATAAGAAATGAGACTCCGGGACAGCACCATACTCGATCTCAGATTTATCCCCAACTTCCTACCACTTTTTCCGAAATTTCCCGAAAATTTCCCTACTTTTCCCCAAAAATTTTGCTGTCGAGCGGGGAGGAGGGGGGGAGAGGGAGGGGGGGGTATATAGTACACATGAAACAGGAAAAATCACGCGAAAAGTCAACAACCGGGAAAAATTTTTCCCAACGCGGCAAATTTCTCTCAAAGCCACATACGACTCCCCTCTCCCAACAACGACCAAGTACGACCCCTCCCCCCGGAAAAGTACGGCCCTCGCCATGTGTTTCACACAACGATGCTGTACCCTGTGCGTAATATTGTCAATATTAGAACGCTTTAAAAACACTTTTGCCAGAAACTTTCAGATTCAGGGTTAGCAGGGGGTCACCATAGCGGTACTTAGGTGACAACGACTTTCTTATGATGTTATAATTGTTATGAACAACGAGCTTTTGACGAAGTACCTACGTGAGATGAAGTGGACACTTTACGCTGCCTTACTAGTGGGAGCTCTTGGGCCGCGTTCATACGTTGCGACTGAGGGGATTTAGACGATCCGGCGATTCAGGATACTAGGCGGTTTGAGTCTGCGCGACGGCAAAACATAGATATCTATCTGGCGACTGTGAAAGTCCGGCGATGTGGAGGATTCGGCGAATCCGGCGATTGCGCGAGAACGGACTGGATGGTATAGATCGCAACAGGTCGCTGGCCATTGCGGAGGTTCGGCGATCCGATTGAGATTGAGTGATCCGACGACATGAGAGACTCGGCGCGCATCTCCCATAACGCCGGATCGCTCAATCTCCGCAGTCACTGGAAGATACCTACACTTTCCTCGCGCTATCTCTCAAACCACCAAGTCTCCCAGAAGACAATCCCCTGTCACCAAGTCTTTAGACGTTACGGCGCATCCCATCTTTCCCTCTGTCTAGGCCCACACGCATTCTAATCCCCAAAGAGTAACCCCGCGTTCAAGAATGGTGATTTGTGCAGCTCAAATACTAGTGACAAAATGGTAAACAAAACAAAAAAAGAAAAATGCACTACAGCTCGTCGAAAGTGCCCCACACAGGACCATGCTGTGCACCTGCATCAGGCGAAGAAAGAGCGTAGTTGGACAAGTTCTACCTTGCTGGTGCCAGCTCTTTCTCCTTATCACCTCACTCCCACCATTCTAAACACTGAGAGTGAGGAGAGGAGAGAGAGAGAGAGAGCGAGAGTGAGTGAGAGGGTTAGAGGTAGCCTAACAGCCTAACAACCGCACCACTAGATAGCCTTTAGTGAGAGTTGCGCGCGGCTGTAGCTAGTGGGCGGAGGCGTGGCCTCGCCGCGAGCAGGTCGCGCTTTCCTCACACTTTTGCGCTGCAAAAGAAGTAGGTATCCATGCCCGCACGCGGGACTACTATGAAACAAGGCTCCTGGACATCTAATGAACGCTAAGGCGCGCCTTCTACGCAACTTCTCAGATAAACCTACGAAACACAGAACCCGCTCAAAAATCCGAGGCAGTCTCATTGAAATAAATGTCAAAATATCAAATGAGACACGTCGAAATCCTCACAATATTATCAAAAAACATACCTGCTACCGGTTGTGTGGCGTCATGTTTGGGCTGCGCAGGCGGTGACGGCTCAACATCCACGCCAGGTGGTCCTTCTGTTTCCATCTACTCAGATGCTGAAATAAAATCAACCACATCGTCAACATTTCGTCCACAACGTAGAGGTGAAGTATCCAAAATCATTCTCAAATGCGGAAATATTAAGTTGGAAAATAACCAAATCAGATAGAAAAGAAACTTGTAGAAGCTCTTTATTTGTACAGAGTGCATTCATTACATAGCACAATCCGTTTGCCAAGAACCAGCCACACCTAAGCAGAGATCTAAAGCGCATTCCGATGTAGAACACATGTAAATTCAAAAAAAAGAATGAAAATCAATATGGCAAGGGCTACAATCGGGAATGCTAGCAGATTTTCATGTTACTCATCGGGCTTAATAAACCACAAGATGATGCGTTGCACATGAGATTCAATTACAGACTAGAAATTTACACAAGACACATTCATTTTACTTTCTAAATCACTAAAAGACAACCTAAAGGAAGAAATCGTTCGGCTTCAAGCGCTACTACAAAGCCGACCAACGCAAAACATCTAGACGTCAATAAGAAATCGGTTCGGATAAAACTTCAAACCTTCCGTAGAATCATCACGACAGAGTTTTGCCTGCTCTTCGGCAGCTAGTAACCTGTAAGAAATCCTGCTGTGTATCTAAGTGCCAAAAAAGACTAGGATGGTTTCTAGATTAATATGTCTATCTCACTATTTCCAATCGCATAACAGATTATCGTGCAAAGCGAGTAGTAAATCATTCGCTGTAACTTGAAGGCGAAAACTTACCGTTCTTTTGCTAATATGACTGTAATCCCGTGGCTTGCAGCCAGTTCACTTGCTGTTGCACTTCCATTCACCTTCACATATTCTGCCGTTGCTTCCACCAAACTCTCTATGGAAGCTGTTTTTAACTGCAGCACTATTACTCCCGTAGCGAAGCGGTGCAATCTGGAATAAACAACGTTCGAGGGCTTCCCACATTTGGCCACAACTTGCTAATCAGTGGTATTGATTGTTCCGCATACTCACTCCATTGGAGAGTCTGGTCGCCTGCTTAGTGCTTGACATGCATTCAAGAGATCTTCGGGTGACAGCAATTCCATGCCTCTCGCACGATTTACTCTACAGAATACCTCAGGCAGGGTCATCATTCCTCCACATTCCTTAAAAGTTCATATAAGCGATAATTCAACAACGGTGAGGCAGCGCTCACAGCTCGCGACAAACGATTGAGCCTCTTCCAGAGAAGCGTCGCAGGTTTATGCCCGGTCGCGCTTGAATGCTCAACAATGGACCGCACCAGCTGCTAACTGAACAGTCCCCGCTAATGTAGCATCATTTCCTTTCCATACTAACTAAAACCTTCAAACTCCCATTTCTTCTTGGAACTTACTATTATTACTCTCATCCTCCTTTCCCCCATGTGACGAGATACAAGTATCCTTACATTCTATAAACCAGTAACTTTGTGTGTCGGTTTGTATGTATGTATGTATGTATGTCTGTCCGTCCGCAAAATGCTTCACGGGTTCGAGTTCGCTGGAGGAGAAAACGACCGCTAGGCAAACCGGTAACCGATTGGTGCGGATGTATCAATCCAATGTTTTGATTGTGATAACAGCCTCCGCTATATAAGACAACCATTCGGTACACTCCGAGCCATTGCACGAGCTGCTGGCGTGGCAGCTGGACGTGTGCTCGTGCGGGGCAGGGTGGGGTGGAGCCGAGGAAGGGCCGAGTGCCCCCCCTCCTCTGTTTCCTTCCCCTGCACGTGCTCAGCCGGACCTGTTGACCATGTGCAAGGGAAGGAAGCAGAGGGGGGGGGGCACCTGGGGCTTTGTTCCAAGGTATGGCTATGGCACAAGCATATTATTGGATGGGCGACAAGAACTGCTAGCTGCTGATAAGAAGGAAGCAGTTCTTGTAAAGGATAAAACACCAAAACAACTCGAAGCTTTTCGAAACTGATAGAATAATGACAGCTCCACTTAATCCTGAGATTCAAATGCTCCAAGGTAAAAATTAATAACAACTAGGAATAAATGGAAGCTTAGTGAACAGGATTTCTTCTATCATTGGCAACGGTCCAACAATTAAAGTTGGAGCGCGTCCGGTCGTTGACACGAGACTGCCTCGATGAAAGGCTACTGGGTCGCTGATGTCGCTACGTATCAACGTAGCATGACCTTATTTTTCCCTCATTTCACCTTCAACGCACCACCACGCATGCAAATATAAAAAACCAATTCGCTAATACACGCAACATGAACGCAAAATGCACCTTCAGTGGTTCAAGAAGCACTGTACGCAATTCATCACCAAGTTTTTCGAAATAAACGGCACCACTACCGTAAACTGACTTAGTTACTGGATCAGAGACACCAAGAGACAACAAGTACGATTTGAACGCAATAGTCTGAAATTAAACGAATGTAATATGAGAAGCAAGTGAGTAGGAAAGAAAAGTGAACACGACAGAACACTTCAAAAAATGCTGCAACAATCAATACAAGCATTCTATACCTCGTCTTCAGTGATTTCACCTCTTCGAGAGCGCAACTTCTCAGAAATACTTTTGGAAAGATTGACCATGTCACGAGCTGTTTCCATCAATCGAGACATATCTTCGAATGCCTGAAAGTGAATAATGAGGATATAGTTTTCACGAACTGTGACTCAGTTACTGTCGACAGTATTCCGTTAAGTTTAAGAGGAAGAGTTTGAACATCGATTCCAGTTTCTAAATCTAAGTAAGTCTCTTGAAATATGGAGGCTTGAAAATATGGAACCAACGCTGGAAATATTACCTGACTGATAGTTTCATGGGTTCGCTGGTGATTTTCAGCCAGACGCTTTTCGAGGCCGGCGATGCCTACAGGTCGCATCTGAATACCTTGACTAGTCCTCGACTGAAAGAATCATAATACTGTAAACTTCAGAGGCGTAAACACACGAAGCCTCACGAAAGCAATGACTACCTCTATTGCTCAACTGAACACGAGTTGGTTCAAATTTTGTAATCAGTGCATTTCGTCTTCGACCCCGATTGGGGAAGAATGCTCGAACTTCATCAAGGAAATTTCAACCAACTGTCGTTAGGTTTTTTTGCATTCTCTATCCACGACATGTCTCCATTATTCACATTTGGCGTCTTTTTTCACATTTTTCAATGTTCCGAACGCACGCCACGGTTTTGAACATTTCTTGGGACTGGAAAAGATCCAGGGTAACGATCCAGTGTTTGGCGCGTGCGCCAGCGTTTTACGCGACTACAGGTAGTTGCACTAGAGAGAATGGAGAACGCTAAATCGACAGCTATACTACGCTAGCCCCTGAAAACGCTGGCATACGCTCAACACTCACAACGCTGCCGTACGCCCGTAATGCTGACGCAAAGTATAAACATTCTCGTACAGGAGGGGTCGCTCAGGGTGCGCCTCGCTTTTTCAAAACGGTTTTTCGCATTTTCAGGGGATTGTGCAAAAACGAGGTTCATTTTCGCTAAGCAGTACCAAGAATGCCGAATAAGGAATGAAAAAGAAATTAGTGCAAACCGCTTCCTTGTGAGCCCCTGAGCTGTAAAACACTTGCAAATTTGATAAGATGCTGAGTGGTATGTTGTTTAAAAAAGTAAAGAGTTTCTCGATCTCAATGGCCCTTCCAAAAGCATCTTAAACTCAGCATCTGTTCAAAGATGCGAGTGATTCACAGCGCACAGAAGCTCGAAGATGGAATAATTCATAAAGATTTCTCTGTCACTCCTCTTCTGGCATTCATGGGACCGCTCAGCGAAAATGAACCCCACTTTTTTTGTACAACCCCCTATAAGGTGCAAAAAAACGTTCCAAAAAAGCAAGGCACGCCCTGAACTACCTCTATATTAGCTCCAATTAGGCCTTGAAATTTGGTTTGGAACTTTGACTGCTATTAGAAAGACGTATGCGAAATCCACTGAATAAGGATACACATGAGCTACTTGCTTTTGAAGAAAGGGACGGAAAAACTCCTCAACGCGAATTATAACAATCTGATAAAATAGACACTTACCCCGCCCGAACTTGATCCTGAACTAGAACGCTGCCAAGTCTTTCGTTTTAAAGCTTCTTCATATTTTTTATGGAACTGAAAAGGTACAACACTGAGAGAAAAACGTCTATAAACGCGAGAAATGGCCATTGGAATATTCTGTGTGACTCACATCATCCTCTCCACCAGCTCTAAACACCAGACGTATGTAATTGAATGGACTTGATCGTTGAGGCCCGACACTATTGGCTGGCGCTGGTTCGAGACGGACGATTATTTTTCCTCCGCGGCTGAACATTGACTTGTGGTGTTTCTCAGTGGATTTCACGAGAGAGTGGTGAAGGATGAGCCGACGATCCTTCAAATGAAAACAACATCAAGGTAACGTTTCCGCAATAATAAAGTAACAGCTAAATTATTGTTTACTCTTTTTTACTTTACTTTTGTTTACTTTGTTGTTCCACACGGGTTCCCGTGTAATAAACATAAACATAAATTACATTTAAGTGCGGTAAAGTATTAATATATTGCAAAAGAAATAACAAGTAGCTGCGCACAAGCTACCCAATGAATAACAAGTGAAGAAAAGGGTGAAGGATAACGTCTTCGCCGCTCATCAATCCCTTCTTGGGATGCCACACGCATGTTTTTTGCGCTTGGAATCGTAAGGGCTTACTGAATGACATGTGGCTTATGCAATGAATTGCGGGCCAGCCGAGGCAATAGTAGTGTTTTTACCCTCCCAAACGAATCTGGTACCAATTGAACTCTCTGCCCAGTAGAAGACTTGGTTGGCCTGGGCGAGCCGGTCGAAATTTTACCCCGGACCGTGCGCGTGGAAATAGGGCCACTTGTCCACCACCTCCGCCTCCACGAGTCACAATCTCCTAAAAAATGTAGGACCCATGTTGAGGTACAGTCCTGGCAATTGATCAAGATCTGCAAATTAACTGAGCTCCCGAAAAGCCTATAATAATATAATAATAATAATAATAATAATAATAAATAATAATAATAATAATAATAATAATAATAATAATAATAATTCACTTCTGATAAGAAACGTTCAAAATACGGTCCTACAACATCCGTCTACGAGGTTGTGGAATGAAGAGAAATCTGATCAACTACAGCCTATTATAAAAAGCAAAGAATCCTCAGCAAATAAGAGCCTAGTCCATCCAAGAGAATCATTATTTCGAATGCAATGTGTTTCTCGTTCTCATATTGAGGCAGAAACAAGAATAGAGAACTTACCGGATCGCTCGAGTCGGCCCATATTATGCGATGCAAAGTCAGTGAAGCTGTTCCTTGTTCGAATGCAGTCTAGAAAATTAAAATTAAAATGGAATTATAGAGAATATCTATCCAAAGAAATGTCCAGATGGAGAAGACAGATGATTAGCGACCTCTGGCTTCGTCTTTAGCTAGTGACAAACGAGCTACATAAAATGTAACACACATAAACTGCATTGACTAGCATTTGAAACTGGAAACTATGTCACTACGTTGTTCATGTCAAACAGAAATGCCTTTACGTCTAGTCTCCCTGCAGTGTCTTTCTGTTAGTGTAATCACGGAAATACTGTTAAAACCTATAGGATAAAGATTGAAGTTTAGCCGTTCATCAGTCCGTTTTTGGTATGCGACACGCATTCTATACATGGAATCCCTGAGATGGGGTAGAGACAACTGTCTTCTTGTTGTAGGCGTGGCTGCGTACTTCAACTAAAGGTGGTGCTGGCTGTGCTTTTGATGGGATATTTTCATTTCGAGATAGTTGTGGTCATGTCTTTGTCCAACACAGAACAAGAAGACAGTTGTCTCAAGTTGAAATATCCACGAATAACCCATTCCTATGCCATGTCCAAATGCCACGCCTACTCTGTCTCAGGGATAAGGAGTGTACCTCCACTCAAAGTCGTAGTGGCTTACTGAATGCGATGTGGCCTATACAATGACTTGCGGGGCCAGCCATGTACCAGTCAGTGTTCTTATCCTCCCAGACAAATCTGGTACCAATTTACCATCTCCAGAGAGTGCAAGGTTTAGTTGGCCTCAACGCGAGCCGATGGGATTAGACCCGCGGATCGCGTGCGTGCCGCTATCAAAACTTAAATAGGAATGATAGCGAATGTGACTACACACGTCGTCTACTAGCAGTGAAAAAAGAAACAAGAGGCTGCAGTAACTCGTATAACGTTTCCAATAACTGCTCCACTCCACGAACCGCATTCAATGCCCGTAAACAAAACAATTTTTCAAATAATGGCTGGTGACAGGGTGCATTTTCGCACCGTGTATGAAAGCATAATGTACGAGAATTCTTCAAAATGAGTCGAACGGATGCATTTTGAAGTAGTGAGCGGATAGAAAAGATACCATGTCGAGACATTTCGTTTTTATCCTACAAGATGGGCTTTAATGTCTCGCGTTGGAATGTACTGCGAAGATTGGAAAATATGTGAGGAAACCGTTGAAATGAAAAACGTACATGTTTGAGATCACCGTCGTAGATGCCAACGTGTCCAGCTTGACATAAAAGATCCTCCAAGTTTTCTCCTGGCTGGTACCACGTTAATCGGTCCATAACTAAAAATAATTACACACACTTGTTAGACAAAAAGAAGAGGACTCTCATACACGAACCAGTTCTGGTTCTGCTTCAAAACGTAAGCGTTGTCTGGGCGTCCGGAAAATCAATAACCCAGCTATGCACAAACGGAAGGTTTTTAACAAATATTCAATCGTTCCACTAAGAAACGCTACTAGACCACTGCAGATGAGCATGCTGTATTAAATGAGATTACAAACGCATTATGCATGCAAGCAGCAACGAGTACAAAGAAGTTGGGAAAATTGATCGTATCTGTTTCTTGGAGGACACTATGACGTAAAATAAAGTGCGTTTCGTTGAGGATGCACACAACATACGCAATCTCACGCTTTAACACGTGGGTTGTCACGGTTGTCCTACAAGGAGGGGGTCGTTCAGGGCTTGTCCTGCTTCTCAAAGCTGTTTTCTCTGCACGTGGTAAGGCCTTGCACATGAACCAAAAATAGGGGCTCGTTTTCGCTGAGCTATAGCTGCAAAAAAAGGAGCAAGGAAGGAATCTATGGAAACTCATCGTCAGGGTATAGCATCGTTGTGCGAAACCCATAGGGGGGTCGTACTTGCTGGGGAGGGGGAGGTCGTAATCTCAAGGGTCACTCAGAGCCGGGCAATGCTTCGACATTTCAGTTGATAATGGGAG